ACCCCCGCCCCTCCCCCCACGACCTCTGCCCCTCCCCCCACGCCGCCAGGGCTTCCGCCAGCAGCTCCTCGCCTTCCCCGCTGCCCAGCAGCGCCAGCACCGCCAGCCCCAGCGCCACCAGCACCGCCTTCACCGCCCTCCGCCGCCATCTCCGCCGCCTCGGGCCCATCCCGGACCCTTCCTCGCCTTTCTCTCACCTCCAGGCTCCCCAAAAACCCCAAAATTTCCCCCAAAACCCCCCCCTGACGGGGGGGGGGAGGGGCGGGGGGGCGCTGGGGGGGCGGAGCGCGCGCGGCGCGGGGGGGGCGTGGTCAGGACCTCAGCCGGGTTTCCATATATGGTAATAAAGGGGCGTGGTTTGACGTCGCGGGGCGGGGTTTAGGGCGCGCTGCGCGGGGGCGTGGTCAAGCACTCGCCCGGTGTTTTCATATATGGTAATAAAGGGGCGTGGTTTAAGATCGCGGGGCGGGGTTTAGGACGCGTTCTGCGCGTGCGCTGCGCGTTGGGGGCGTGGCCTGGGAGCGTCGGGGCCGCGCGCGGAGAGCGGAGGGTGAGGAATGGAGAAATTTGGGGGAAATTCGGGGGAAATTTGAGGGAAATTTGAGGGGGATTTGGGGGTCGGTGAGGGAATTTGGGGGGGTCCCGGAGGGCTCTTCTGGAGGCACGAGAGAATTTGGGGTTTCCGGGAAGATTTATGGGAGTCCTGAGGTGATTTAGGGAGTCGTGAGGGGGATTTGGGAATCCTGAGGGGATTTGGGGAGTCCTGAGGGGGATTTAGGGTTCCTGAGGGGATTTAGGGGGTCTTGAGGGGATTTAGAGGATTCTGAAGGGGATTTGAGGGTCCTGAGGGGGATTTGAGGGTCCTGAGGGTGATTTGGGGAATCCTGAGGGGATTTGGGGATCCTGAGGGGATTTAGAATGTCTTGAGGGGATTTAGAGGGTTCTGAGGGGGATTTGGAGAATCCTGAGGGGAATTTTTGGAATCCTGAGGGGATTTTGGAATCCTGAGGGGATTTAGAATGTCTTGAGGGGATTTAGAGGGTTCTGAGGGGGATTTGGAGAATCCTGAGGGGAGATTTGGGAATCCTGAGGGGATTTGGAGAATCCTGAGGGGATTTGGGGATCCTGAGGGGATTTGGAGAATCCTGAGGGAAATTTTTGGAATCCTGAGGGGATTTTGGAATCCTGAGGGGATTTAGAGGGTTCTGAGGGGGATTTGAGGGTCCTGAGGGGGATTTGAGGGTCCTGAGGGTGATTTGGGAGTCCTGAGGGGAGATTTGGGAATCCTGAGGGGATTTGGGGAAGTCCTGAGGGAAATTTTTGGAATCCTGAGGGGAATTGGGGAGTTCTGAGGGGGATTTAGGGTTCCTGAGGGGGATTTAGGGGTCTTGAGGGGATTTAGAGGATTCTGAGAGGGATTTGAGGGTTCTGAGGGGGATTAGAGGGTTCTGAGGGGAATTTGGGGGGCCCTGAGGGGATTTAGGGGGTCTTGAGGGAGTTTTGAGGGTCCTGAGAGGATTTCAGGGGTCCTGAGGGGAATTTGGGAATCCTGAGGGGGATTTGAAGATTCTGAGAGGATTTAGAGGGTCCTGAGGGGGATTTGGGAATCCTGAGAGGGATCTGGGGAGGTTCTGGGGAGGTTTGGAGGGACTTGGGGAGGATTTTGGAGGGTCTGGCGAGATTTTTTGGGGCTCTTTAGGGTTTGGGGGGGTCCCTGAGGGGTCAGGAGGATTTGGGGGTGCGGGGGATGACCCCAAATCCCCTTCCCCACCCCAAAAAAAGCCCCCCCATGGCGGAGACGCTGCAGAAGAAGCTCCAGGGGGAGCTGGAGAAATATCAGCAGTTACAAAAAGGTAAAGAAAATCCCCAAAACGGCCCAAAAATCCTCCTGGGACCCCCAAAACCTCCCCAAAAACCTCTCAAATTCCACCTGAGACCCCAAAATCTTCCCCAAAAAGTCCTTGGGACCCCTAAAGCTCCTCAAATGCCCCCAAAACCCCCTGGGACCCCTAAAATCTCCCCAAAACCCCCAAATCCCTCCCCTAAAACCTCTTGAGACCCCCCCCAAAATCCTCCCAGGACCCCCCCAGACCCCTCAGGTTTTGGGGGGGGGCTCTGTCCTGGTTTTGGGGTCCCCCCCGAGCCCAAATTTTGGGGTCCCCCCTCAGAGCTGGGCCGGGCGGTGGCGGCGCGGCAGAAACTGGAGACGCAGCTGACGGAGAACAACATCGTGCAGGAGGTGAGGGAACCCCCAAAAACTGCCCCAAGAATTCCTTAAAACTGCCCCAAAAAAATCCTGAAAATGCCCCAAAAATCCCCCCAAAATTCCTCAAAAGTGTCCTGAAAAATCCTCCAAAAAAGCCCAAAATAATCCTCAAAATCACCTCGGAAGATGGTACAAATATTCCCCAAAACTGCCCCAAAAATCCCCTGAAACTGCCCCAAAAAGCATCCAAAAAATCTCCCAAAATTGCCCCAAAAATACCTCAAACTGCCCCAAAAATCTCCCAAAACTGCCCCAAAAATCCTCAAAAAAATCTCCCAAAATTGCCCCAAAAAATCCTCAAAAAATCTCCCAAAATTGCCCCAAATATCCCTGAAAAAGCCCTAAAAATCACTCGAAAACACCCCAAAAAAATTCCTAAAAATAACCCAAAAATATCCCAATCCCGACCCAAAATTCCCTAAAAATCTCTCAAAAATCTCCCCAAAATCCCTAAAAAATCCCAAAATTCAAGCGACTCCAAATCTCCCAAAAATCTTCTTTTTTCCCCTCAAAAATCACTTTTTCCCCCCTAAATTCCCGAATTTTCCTTCCAAAATCCTCTTTTTTTACCCCAAATCCTCTTTTTTTCCCCAAATCTCTTTTATTCCCAAATCCCTTTTCCCAAATCCCTCTTTTCCCTTCCAAAATCCCTTTTTTTCACCCAAAATCCCTCTTTTTCCTTCCAAAATCCCATTTTTTTACCCAAAATCCCATTTTTTCCCCCCCAAATCCCATTTTTCCCCCCCAAATCCCATTTTTTCCCCCCCAAATCCAATTTTTTTTCCCAAAATCCCTTTTTTTTTCCCCAAAATCCAAATTTTTAACCCAAAATCCCATTTTTTTCCCCCCCCAATCCAATTTTTTTTCCCCAAATCCCCATTTTTTACCCAAAATCCCGTTTTTTCTCCCCAATTCCCGCAGGAGCTGAACCTTCTGGATGATTCCAACACCATTTTTAAGCTTTTGGGCCCCGTTTTGGTGAAGCAGGAGCTGGAGGAGGCCAAAAACACCGTGGGAAAACGGCTGGAATACATCTCCGGGGAAATGTGGGTTTGGGGGAAAAAACGGGGAAAACGGGAAAAAATTGGGGGGGGAAAAATGGGAAAAAAATGCGGGAAAAAATGGGAAAAATGGGGAAAAAATAGGGGGAAAAATGGGGGAAAAAAATGGGGAAAAATGGGGAATAAAAGGGGTGAAAAATGGGGGAAAAAAATGCAGGAAAAGGGGGGAAAATGGGGAAAAAATAGGGAAAAAAATGGGGGAAAAATAGGGGGGAAAATGGGAAAAAATCCAGGAAAAAATGGGAAAAAAATGCAGGAAAAGGGGGAAAAATCTGGGGGAAAAAATGGGAAAAAATGCAGGAAAAGGGGGGGGGAAATGGGGAAAAAAATGAGGAAAAATGGGGGAAAAAATTAGGGGAAAAAGGCAGGAAAATGAGGGAAAAATAGGGGAAAATGGGGAAAAAATAGGGGAAAAAATGAAATAAAATTGGGGGGGAAATTGGGAAAATGGGAAAAAAATGGGAAAAAAATGCAGGAAAAGGGGGGGAATCTGGGGGGAAATGGGGAAAAAATGGGGAAAAAAGGTGGGGAAAGGGGAGAAAAATGGGGAAAAAAGTGAGGAAAAATGGTAAAAAAGGGAAAAATGCAGGAAAAGGGGGAAAAATAGGAGAAAAAATGGGAAAATGCGGGAAAAATTAGGGGATAAAATGCGGGAAAATTGGGGAAAAAAGGGGGGAGAAAAATGGGGGAAAAAAATGAGAAAAAATGCGGGAAAAGGGGGAAAAATGGGGAAAAATTGGGGAAAAAAGGTGGGAAAATGAGGGAAAAAAGGGAAATTAAAAATGCCAGAAAATGGGGAAAAAATGGGGAAAAAACAGGAGAAAAAATGGGAAAATGAGGGAAAGATTAGGGGATAAAATGCAGGAAAATTGGGAAAAAAGGGTGAGAAAAATGGGGGAAAATGTGGGAAAAACGGGGGAAAAAGGAGAAAAAAAATCGGGAAAAGGAGGGGGAGGAGAGATAAAAAAAGGGGGAAAAAAGGAGTGAAAAAGTTGGAAAAAAGAGGAGAAAAAAGGGGGAAAAATGGGAAAGAGGAGGAAAAAAAAGGGAAAAATAGGGATGCAAAGAGAGGGGAAAATGATAAAAAATACAGGAATAAAAAAGGGAAAAAAGAGCAAAAATTGCTAAAAAAATCGGGAAGTGACAGAAAATAAGGAGATAAAAAGATGGAAAATGGAGAAAAAACAGTAAGAAAAGAGCAAAAAACAGCAGGAAAAAGTGGAATTCCCATCTTTCACCTTAAAATTCCTGTTTTTCACACTGAAATTCCAGTTTTTTTCACCCAAAAATTCCCGTTTTTCGCCCCAAAATTCAGGAAACGCTACGAGCAGCAGATGCAGGATCTGGAGCGGCGCTCGGAGCAGCAGCGGGAGGTGCTGGGGAAACTCCAGCAGGAATTGCAAGCTAAACCCTGAACACCCCAAAATTTTTTGGGAACAACCCCTCGTTCCCAAAAAAAAAAAAAAATCCTTGGATTCCCCAGATTCCCAAAAAAAATTCCCATTAAATCCCACCAAACCGACCCGAAATGCGGATTTTTATCCGGCGGCGGCGCTGAGTTCTCGCTTGGGGTGGGGTTTGGGGCGGTTCTGAGCACCCCAAAATTTTGGGGATGTTCCTCAAAATCTTCCAGTTCATCCCTGACACTCCCAGATCCCAAAAATTCCCGAGAAATTGGGGCCGAATCCGCCAAAATCTTGGAATTCGGAGGGAAAGGGGGCGTGGTCAACTGGAAAAGGGGCGTGGCAAAGCATGAGGGGTGGAGCCACGCGAAAAGGGGCGTGGTTTGTTTCCATAAATGGAAATTGGGGCGTGGCCATGCGGGTCACGTGGACTTTTGGGGTGAGGGGGCGGGGCCGGAATCCCTGAAGGGAATTTTGGGGCAATTTTGGCGCCGTTTGGGGCAGATTTGGACTCGGGGGCGTGAGCGGAGCTTCTGAGGGGAATTTTTGGGGTCCCTGGGGGGAATTTTGGGGTCTTGGACGTAGCAAAACCCTCCGAGAGAAATTTTGGGGTGAATTTGGGTGAATTTGGGGGTTTTGGGGTTGAAATTTGAGCTTGGAGGCCAGGCCAGAGCTCTGTGGGCGTGACCGGAGCCTCTGAGGGGGAAAATTTGGGGGTCCCTGAGGGCGCGGCCGGGAATTTTTGGGGTCCCTGAGGGGAATTTTGGGGTTTTGGGCATGGCCGAATCCCCTGAGAGAAATTTTGGGGTGAATTTGGGGCGTTTTGGGGGATTTGGGGGCAGATTTGAGCTTGGGGGCGAGGCCAGAGCTCTGTGGGCGTGGCCGGAGCCTCTGAGGGGGAAATTTTGGGGGTCACTGAGGGCGCGGCCGGGAATTTTTGGGGTCCCGGAAGGGGAATTTTGGGGTTTTGGGCATGGCCGAATCCCCTGAGAGAAATTTTGGGGTGAATTTGGGGCGTTTTGGGGGATTTGGGGGCAGATTTGAGCTTGGGGGCGAGGCCAGAGCTCTGTGGGCGTGGCCGGAGCCTCTGAGGGGGAAATTTTGGGGGTCACTGAGGGCGCGGCCGGGAATTTTTGGGGTCCCTGAAGGGGAATTTTGGGGTTTTGGGCATGGCCGAATCCTCTGAGAGAAATTTTGGGGTGAATTTGAGGCGATTTTCGGGCGATTTGGGGGGGGTTGGGGGTAAATTTGAACTTGGGGGGCGAGGCCAGAGCTCTGTGGGCATGACCGGAGCCTCTGAGGGGGAAATTTTGGGGTCCCTGAGGGCTTAACCTGAAATTTTTGGGGTCCCTGAAGGGGAATTTTGGGGTTTTGGGCATGGCTGAATTCCCTGAGAGGAATTTTGGGGTGAATTTGGGTAAATTTGGGCGGTTTTAGGGGGTTTTTGAAGCAGTGGGCGTGTCCTGAATCGAAAGCGAAAGCGATGGCGGGAGCGCGGCTCGACCTGGCGGGTGAGGAGCTAAAAAAAACCTTTCAATTTATCTAAAAAACCCCAAAATCTGGATCCCCCCCAAATCCTTCCGACCCCAAATCCCTGCGGATCCCATCCCTGAACCCCCAAATCCTACAAAATTCCCTTTAAATCCTGGGAAATCCCCAAAATCGGCGCCTCCAAGTTCTTATTTCCTCCTCCTCACAAATAAAAACCTCCCCAGATCTCCCCGGGATTCCCCAAATCTCCCCCAAACCCTTCCAGGACCCCCCAGATCCCCCCAAGACCCCCCTAAATTTCCCCCCAACCCCCCAAATCCCCCCAAACCCCTCCAAGACCCCCCCCCCAAACCCCATTTTTCCCCCTCCCCAGCTCTGGTGCTGATTTGGGGAGGGGTCGCTGTTTTTGGGGCTCCCCCCCCCCAAACCCTGCGCTGCCTCCTGCTGGACGAGCGAGGCTCCCCCTCCCCCCACCCCGCCCTGCTGAGGATTTTGGGGGGTCCCGAGACCCCCGAAACCCCCCGGGACAACCCCGAGCTCACCTTTGACGTCACCGGTACGAGACCCCCCACCCAAATTCCGGGGGGGTTTGGGGGGGATTTTGGGGGTTTTTTGGGCGATTTTTGGGGTTTCTTGGGGTGGATTTTGGGGGGTTTGGAGGTTTTTTGAGGGTTTTTGGGTTTTTTTGGGGGGTTTTGGGGGAGATTTTGGGGTTTGGGGCGATTTTTGGGGTTTTTGGGGGGAGATTTTGAGGGGTTTTGAAAGGTTTGGAGGAGATTTGGGGTTTTTTTGGGGGGGTTGGGGGGAATTTTGGGACGTTTTGGGGTTTTTTTGGGGCAATTTTTTTGGGGGGGTTGGGGGGAATTTCGGGGCGGTTTTGGGGTTTTTTTTGGGGCAATTTTTGGGGTTTTTTTAGGGGGGTTTTGGGGGAGATTTTTGAGGTTTTTACGAGTTTTGGGGTGGATTTTAAGGTGATTTGGGGGTGGGTTTGGGGCGATTTTGGGGGGGTTTTGGGAGATTTGGGGGATTTTGAGGAAGTTTGGAGAGATTCTGGGGCGGTTTCGGGGGATTTCGGGGAGGATTTGGAGGTTTTTGTGACACTTCTGCTATTTTTGGTGCGTTTTTTGATGCCATTTCTGCCACTTTCGTTATTTTTGTGACCACTTGAACCCCATTTCTGCCACTTTCACCACCATTCCCCATCTCACCCTCCCCTCTTTTTTTCCCCCCCACAGACCCCTGGGGGTTCCTGAAGGATTTTTGGGGTCCCTCCCGCTGCGAGCTGAGCCCCACGGCCCCTCTGCCACCACCCCCCGGCCCGGGGATGTCCCCCAAGTGTCCCCAAGGCCAGCGCTGGTGGCTCCTGGCCCTGGGGACCCCCGAGGGGGCGGGGACGGCGCTGCTGCGGCAGTGGGGGAGGGGAGAGCCCCGAGACCCCCCCCGGCTCGATGGTGAGAGGTGGGGGAGGGGCACGGCGGTGCCACCTCCCTCTGGGTGTCCCCAAGTGTCCCCAACCCCCTTCTGGGTGTCCCCAAGTCCCTTCTGGTGTCCCCAAGTTCCTTCTGGTGTCCCCAGCCCTGCTCCTGGTGTCCCCAGGTGTCCCCAACCCCGCTCCTGGTGTCCCCAAGCCCCTTCTGGGTGTCCCCAAGCCCGTTCCTGGTGTCCCCAAGTCCCTTCTGGGTGTCCCTAACCCCATCCTCAGTGTCCCCAAGCCCGTTCTGATGTCCCCAAGCCCCTTCTGGTGTCCTCAACCCCATTCCTGGTGTCCCCAAGCCCCTTCTTGGTGTCCCCAACCCCGCTCCTGGTGTCCCCAAGTCCCTTCTGGGTGTCCCCAAGTCCCTTCTGGTGTCCCCAAGCCTGTTCCTGGTGTCCCCAACCCCATTCTTGGTGTCCTCAGGTGTCCCCAACTCCATTCTCACTGTCCCCAAGCCCCTTCTGGTGTCCCCAAGCCCCTTCTGAGTGTCCCCAACTCCATCCTCAGTGTCCCCAGGTG